AAGAGCGTGGAATCAGTGCGGTGTTAATTATTTAATAATAAAAAGAGTTTAATTCTTTTGCCCATGTCCCCTGAGGGTTTTTCTGTAAACTTCACACCTTCCCTTGTGTTGGAACACATTCTGTCCCCATCACCACCACTCCTTTCACCTGTTTTTTTATTACTTTTTTTCTTTTTGACCTTACACAAGTGCCTTTCCCCCTGTAAACACCATCCCAAGGAGAGGCAGCGTCAGTCAGAGCGCTGCAGTGATGTCCTGCTTTTTCCCAAATGTGCCCTAGCAGCTGTACTTTGCATATCACAGGTGTGGCAGAGCCTCTTCCCTGCAACAGGGCATGAATTTCATCACCCCAGCACTGAAATTTGGCTGTGGGGACTGAAGTCCCACGCAGGTGGCCCTGGCTGACCCACCTGTTTACCACGGAACTGCTCTCGAGGCAATCCCGGATCAGTGAACAAGCTCAACAAAATCCAAAGCATTTTAGGCCACTTTTTTTTTTTATGGTTAATGCTAAACCACAGAAAACCCAAGCAGAGGGACTGAAAACATTTGAGCACCCAGCTGTGTCTTACCAACAGGACTCTGGAACAGTTTCCCACCTCTGTAGAGCCTCACAGCACCGTCTTGGGGCTGTTTGTGTCATAAATCAGAGCAGCTCGAGGGACCCCGCGGAAGCCGGGCACAGCCACTGCTATCGCTGCAGGAACAGAGCTCGGCTCTCGCTGTCCTGGCTGCTTCCCTGAAGAAAGGTCTGAGCAAGTTCCCGTTCGGGGGACAGACTGGTTCATCCAAGTGCACAGTTCAAATCCATCCGCGTGTTCCTGCTCACAGCCGGGACCGGCCCAGCAGACGGGTTTGAACGCGCAGCCTCAGGGACAGCACGAGGGTTGTTCTCGCCAGAAGCCTCGTGGCACGTTGCTTCACACCGAAAATGGGGTGTGAAAACAACATCATGTTGTTTTTAAACTGTACCCTGTTTATAAACCCTTCCTGTGCCTGGATCAGCCCCTGCACGGGGCTCTTCAGGGCCCGTCAGCTGTGAGTCAGGGGCTTAAGCACAATAGAAAATTAGAACACAACAATATCAGAAGCATCACATTAAAAACACACACCCCGCTTTTCCTATTTGCATGGAAACCTTTGGAGAGCTTGAGGAGCTGGAAAGAGAGCAGAGGTCTGCATTTTCACACAGGTCTGGGTGGGTTTTTTTGCTAGTTACTTAAAAAAAAAAAAAAGTAAAGAAAAAAAAAAAGAGATGCAGATGACCTAAAAACTCCAGCTGCAATACACTGAAGCTGTTCTCATGACAGAAAATTACCCGTGAATCTTAGTGGGTCAGTTTTACATAAATACCATGGACCCCTGGGAGAGCCTGGAACTTTAATCACGACTACTAAAAAAATTCTTAATCACCAAAGTACTAAACTGAACACAGCAAAACCTTCAGCTTTCCAGGTCACAGGGACTGCCCAGAAAACAAGCACCAGCTCCTAACACCAGGCAGGAACACTCACAAGCCCCCCGCTCGCCCCGCTGCACATCAGCAGCCTCCCCAGACCCACATTTCCTGGATGTCCCACACGGTGCCTGTTGTGGTGCCCGTCCAGCCCGTCCAGCCCCCCCACCAGAGCCCCCACCCTGCTGCGCCCGCTGCCTTGCGGGGTCAGAAACCACCCACCCCGCTGCGCCCGCTGCCTCGCGGGGTCAGAAACCTCCACGGACCCACCCGGCCGAACCACCACCGAGGCTGCTGCGAGAGGCTGAGCAGCAAATCCCCCTGGCACAGCCAGAACACAGCTGGTGTGCAGAGCTTCCAACCCTCACGGAGGACGAGGAACAGTCCCGTAAACAACGGCGCCTCGTGAGGCCCCAGCGAAGGGGTCCTCAGTGAGGGTCCCGCTGGGGCTGTTTCGCAACCCTCAAGCTTCAGTGCTGACGTCAACTTTGGGCTGCTCCACTCGGTCGTACCTGGTGGTCCTGGTGCAGGGAAAGGTTCTGGTTTAGCCCCAGTTTAACGCTACAGTTTCACCTCTCACATAAAAGTGTGAGGTTCAGGGTGATGGGAGCAGGACCACGTGCCAGTCAGAAAACAACGACACTTCCCGCCTGGCTCAGAGCTGCCGCGTTCGATGGATCACCGCCACGCGCCCGTTTGTCAGGTTTTCTTTATTCTAGCATCACTTTTGCATTCCTACTTGTGATAATAAGTTTTGGAACTCTGGTACATGAGATAAACTGGAAGATTTTCTTTAAAACAT